CCCCCCCCCCCCCCCCCCCCCCCCCCCCATTTTAGTACAATTTTTGACCCTTGTATGTTTTTTATGCCGTATTTTGCGCTTTTTCTTTATTTTTGCACAATCTGACTGTTTTTCATTATCCATCAGAAACCGGCTACCCAAGAATTATCGTGAGCTGTGTCTTTAAGAAGCTAAACCGATTATTCCTGAGCGAATGTACCCCTCAGTGTTTTTCTTATAACTTTTTAAAGAACTTTAAAAGGTATTCTGACGCAGTACTCACATAATATACGTCAATCGGTCTTCCTGTAACCTTCTCAGTATCCTTATCCATCTGGATTCGTTCCAGTGTCGTACATCGATGCTCACACCACGACCACATGCCATGCCGCACTTTTACCGCCACTCTCTGGAAAGTTTGCTCACCGCTCAAGACATTTGATAAGAAATGACACCGTGAAGTACTCATACATTGCTTCAGCAATTTTAAAGTTCAGGTTGTCATGCTCAGAGATAGATGAGCACCTAAACTGAAAATCTAGACAGGTAATGGCAGCAAATGGTGCTTCTCCAGTTGCGATCAGCCTTACTAGTAGCAGATATTTGCCTCCTCTTTTCTTTCTGTTCTCTAGATTTACCAGTGTATCACTTCCTACATTGTTACTGTCGAAGAAACCCACATCCACCCATTTGTTTAGCGAGATTGGACAAGTAATCAGCTTCGGATGGGACTCAAACCCGCACTTGTGCTGTCCGGCCCCTGCGCTTTTTATCGTGGATCACGCATTCCGGTTAAATAACATCAGTAAACAAAATATCAAGTCAAATCAATCTTTCGATTTAGATGTTTTCTTATAAGATGTAAGCGTTGCACCACTTGCGTCTTCAGAAATGTTACGGCTTGTCGGAAGACACCCATAGATTCCCATACCCTTTCTCCTATGCGATCAAATCTTTATAAGTCTTTTCTAATGGCTCATTTTAATCACCTGTAGTGTACAGTTAATATCAGAAAATGGACGGACCTCTGATGATCCCTTTAGCTTTTGGTAGATCTCCTCAGCACTTGTGATCGGTTGGCCATCAAGTGCAATAATCGTGTCACCAACGAAGATTTTGTTGGTAAGTACGGAGTTTACATCGATATGAGTAATCTGGAAGCACCTTCTGTACTATTGTTTTTCTATTCCATTTCTCAGCCGAAGATGAAGCTTTAGAACGGTGCAATCAGCAACGAGCGAACATCTCTCCCGTTGGCGGTGCCAGGATCGCCACCAAAAATAGGATACTCCCTTCACTTACAGCTGACTGCATCTTCCCAAAGAGTTGCACCTTTATAAACGCTACGAGGAGTCTGAACAATTTTTTGCTTGATGCTGGAATCACGCATTGGGCATAGGAGAGACTAGAAGATTTCATGCGTTTAAACACCAGTTTGAATCTAATTGTAGGACAAACTTATAAGTAAATCATGAGTGGTCTTATGAGCTCTTCACCGACACCCCCTATCGTTTGCTCTGTCTGTTCTCTCTTAAATTGACCTCTTTTGCGTGCTGTGAAAGGTTTGAAGATGCTAGAGCTACCTTTACGGCAAGTATGAGACCGAGGTCCTTCTAACAACAGTGAAGACGAAGATAGGAAAAGTGATTGGTTAGGATGGGGAAACAACCGAAGCATGAAGGGCGCTCGGAGAGAACGAGAAGTAGGTGTGCCACTCATTGTGAACACCGCGACCATTTGAGGACGCACCCCAGGTTCAAGGATGAACAGTGCTACCATCCCAAGTAGAATGGGACGCAATGGAGTATTCAATGTACCTTGGAATCACGTCAACTAGGCACAT